GGGGGGGGGGGGGGGAACACTGTCAGAGGTTCCAAGTAACATCACAGTATAACCCTTTGACAGGCTCTCAGATAGTAAGGACCGGCATTGCGGAAACAAGGTCTGGCTTGATCTAGAAAAGGTGGCGGTGGCGGAAAAAAAAAAGAGCTTTCTTTCCCTCCTGCTTTCTCTCAGTACATTACTATCTTTGAGCCTATAACAGGCCATCTCTAGAAAAAGCTAGCAAACAAAGCCTAATTGGCCTTGCTCCATATTTCGACCAATTGCAAGTTCATTATCACCTTTCATTTCTATTTCATTTCTATTTTCCATTGGCATCCTTTGATTTATTATGTTCTAAACTGACTTAATACATTTTCATCAACAGAAAATGTGCTTGTTTTTCTTCCGAAGCCTTATTATTTGAAAATTGGTAGCAGCGAAACATTAAAATGTTCCTTGCCAAAGGACGATTACAGGAGATGGTACGTCGACGACAAGGTTGCTTCCAAGTCTGGGCGCCAAATTGAGATTTCCGGTCAAACATTAACAATACACGATATCGGCGTGGCTGATGGGGGAACCTATGAGTGCCGTACACTTAGGCACAGAGAGTTCTTCACCATATATGTGACAGGTAGGTAGCTTTTTTACTATAAAATTGCCTTATTAGTTATCAGTGTCAACAGTGCCAGCGTTATCGTTTCCAATTATTATCTGTCATCTTAATTAGAACGACTCTAAATCGAGGAACGGTGGAATAGCGGAAAATCATCTAAAATTCTAAAAACGAGGAACGGCGGAAGATAGATCCATATCGTAAAACGCGAAACACTAAAAACCAAATAAAAGAAAAGAAAAAAGAGCAAAAAAAGTTTATACGAAAAACGAGACATTGATTTTGCTCTTATTGAAAATATTGTTGTACTAACAGGCGACGTCCAGAATCAACCTTCAGGTCCCTAGTTCGTTGATTTGTAACTCTGTCAGTTCCAAGCGTGACTATTTCCCTTCACCACGGTCATTTGTCGAGCAATTTTCTACCAGAAAAATGAAAATATCCTCCTAGTCAAAGTTATCGTAGCCGACCTCCTCGGGAACTCCTTTAAGTATAGTGGTCGCAACTCAGGCTGCTCGTTTAAGAAAATGTCGAAAATGCCTTTTGTGACCTCAGTTTGACGAAGTGATAAAGCGGCCAATACTCAACTTTTGACTGAGTAGCCAGGGGCGTAGATACTTGAACGCCAAGAGCTAATGTTTACGCAAGATACGCGCGCAAGTGCGTACCTGGAAAAGTCGAGGGTATCAAAAATTATATATAAAAGAAAATACACCCAAATATTAGTAGTTATAATAGGATGCCTTGTGCCTCAACTCAAAAGTACTTTTTCTCGTCATTCCCCTGATTAATCCTGTCATTTCCATTAAAAATTTCTCCTGTTTATTTTCCGTCATTAATTTTATACTCTTTTAACAAAATTACCAAAAACTGGTTTTATGTTAAATTAAGTCATTATTTTACACTATCTTAAAACTAAAATTATTAACTCTGTAATTTTGAGAAAAACTCAATGAACTGGACAAAAACAATAGCTCGCTCACCTCCCTCGCTCCGCTCGGTCGGTCGCTCGCGGGAATGACGGGAAAAAGTACTTTTGAGTTTATGCACAAAAGCATCCTATTATAACTACTCTAAAGTGAGTCAGAAAAAATAAAATTGATATTTAAAGAAATAAGTACACCAAATTATAATTTCGTGCAAGGTTTGTCCAGATTACGCTAAAGATTATAAAAACGAATTTTTATTTATAACTGTTATAGATAGATGTTTTGGATTTGTACTAAATAACTGAAAATTTTCTGGAAGAGGGTTATTGGAAAGAAGAGCTAAGTTAGTAGAAAAATATTTAAAAAAAAATGATAAACTTAATCCTTCTAATAATCCACCAAAATTATTTTAAAAATATGATGTTATCAATTCATATTTTCTTTTTGAAGAGTTACACGAAATGTTTGAAGATTATTTAAATAGAGTGTTTGATGAATATGGTGTAGCTTATATTGGTTTAGACGATGCTTATCCAGGTTGGTATGAAATGAGAGACGCTATTCTTATGTTTAAGAATAAAATTAAAGTGGAAGGTGAGTCTGAGTCTGAGTCTGAGTCTAAGTCTGAGTCTGAGGTTCTTTTTACTGGTAGTGACTCTGATTAGTCTTATATCAACAATTGATATGACTTTTTTCTACTTTGAATAAGAAAAAATAAAATTGAAATTTAAAGAAATAATTTTAAATAATTATAAAACAAGATGCCTATTGATTTGCGTAACCTTTCTATTGCTGAATTAGAAAAAGTTGAAAAAGGTTTTACAAAAAAGGATAAGAGATTACAGAAAGAAGAAAAGAGAAAACAAGAAATCACTGCTAACACAAAAAAAAAAATTCAGAGGTCAATAAAAAAACGTGATGGTAGACTCCAACCCAAACCCAAACAAACTAAAATCAAAACATTTGAGGATTATTTTCAGGAGTGTATCAAGAATAAAACAATTCCACCCGATACACCATCTTATCTTCGCAAAGCTCTAGAACGAGCTATTAAAGAATACAATCAAGGAATTATAAAAGAGAAATCAGCTTTGGATGAATTTGCTAATAAATACGTAGTAAAGGGAGAAACCGGTATTACTCCATTTGAGTTCTTTAGATCTAAATCCACTTACTTAAAAGACTTTTTTACGAAATCATCGAAATATTAAAGTTAGATTTGTTTTTGTTTAATGGAAAAAATGTCAGGTAATGCTAAGCTAAGTATTACGGTTCAGGATAAAGCATATTTTCAATCAGATACACATATTAATCTTGAATCAACCGATGTGAAAGGAATACTTGCTGAAGTTATTCGTACAATCATTGAGAGGATTAGTATCTATAAGCAGAATGGTAGTGGGTGGTATTTTAAAGAATTAGTTCATCTTGAAATTCATACTGTTGATTACAAACCAATGAGAGGTTCTTCTTATATTCCTCTTCCAGATTGGATAATGCGAAAGAAAGCTATAGTAAACATTCGAAACACTGACGAGAAATGTTTTCTCTGGTGTGTACTTAGATATCTTCATCCAAGAGACAAAAATGATACCCGATTAACAGATTTGAAACAATACGAGAATACCCTAAACACTAAAGGAATTAAATATCCAGTTAAACTAAAAGACATTCCAAAATCTGAAGCACTTAATCCATCACTTCCAGGAATAAATGTGATTTCGGTTAATGAGAACAACAAGTTTTATCCTCGGAGAATGGCGCAGCGAAATCCTCAAAAAACAATAGACCTATTCCTTTACGAAGAGGATGGTAAATATCATTATTCGCTAACTAAGAATTTTTCACGTTTGTTTAGATCTCAAATAACGTCACGAACAACTGGTCAAATATATATTTGCAAAAAATGTTTTACTCATTTCTCGAAAGAAGAATTATATCAAAAACACATTTTATATTGCTCAACTAATGAAACAGTTGCTGTGCGTATGCCTCCACGAAACACGAAGTTACACTTTCAAAATTATTTCAAACAATTTCCAATTCCTTTTGTAGTTTATGCTGATTTTGAATGTTTTACTAAACCAGTGAATACTTGCAATCCTAACCCAGAGGATTCATATACCTACAATTACCAAAAGCATGAGTCTTCAGGATTTTGTTTATACATCAAAGGAAATAGATCGTAATATATCATTTGAACCAATTCTTTACACAAAAACCAAAAGTGCTGATGACATTCCTGCGATATTTGTTTCTAAACTCGAAAAAGTAACAAATAAGATATACCAAGATTTTTGTTGTCGTCCAATACCTCTTAAATTAACACCTGCCGAACAAGACTCCTTTAATAAAGTGGAAATCTGTCATATTTGTAAGAAAGAATTACTTGATGATAAAGTTCGAGATCACTGTCATTTTACTGGTAAGTATCGTGGTGCTGCTCATAACAGTTGCAACTTGCAATGTCGGAAGCCAATGATTCTTCCAGTGGTGTTTCACAATCTTAAAGGGTATGATTCACATCTGTTTATTAAACAGTTGTCTCTTTTGCCAGGTGAGTTAAACTGTATTCCTTCAACAGAAGAAAAATACATTTCGTTTTCCAAAAACATAAAAGTTGATGATTACATATCTCGTCGCACTGGAGAAACAGTTTCAATGAATTTTGGAATACGATTTATTGATTCGTTCAAGTTTCTTCGGACAACTCTTGCTAATCTTATTGGAAATCTTCAACCGGATGATTTTCATAACACCAAGTCTATAATTAAGGATCCAAAGGCTGTTGAATTGTTAACTCGTAAAGGAGTTTATCCATACGATTACGATACATCAATTGATACTCTCTCTGAGACCAGTCTTCTACCTAAATCAGAATTTTATTCAAAGCTAAATGACGAAGGTATAACAGATTCTGAATATCAACACGCATTAAATGTTTGGAGTAGTTTTAATTGTAAGTCTATTCCTGATTATCACGATTTGTATCTCAAGTCTGATGTCTTACTGTTAGCAGATGTATTTGAAAACTTTCGAGCAACGTGTCTTCGTCATTACAATTTAGATCCTGCTCATTACTATACATCTCCTGGTTTGGCTTGGGATGCATGCCTCAAAGAATCAGGTCAAGAGCTTCAACTGTTGCATGATTATGACATGTTAATGATGTTTGAGCGAGGTATTCGTGGAGGAATAACTCACATATCAAAGAGATATGCAGAGGCTAATAACAAATACATGGTTAATTACAATCCTGATAAACCTTCTACTTATATTCAATATCTCGATGCTAATAATCTTTATGGGTGCGCAATGTCACAACCACTTCCCACACATGGATTTAAATGGTTAGATAATTTAACAGTTGACTCTGTGATTAAATTGTTAGAGCGTAGAAAGACAAAAATAGGGTGTATATTCGAAGTTGATTAGGAATATCCTCGTAAATTGTGGGTTTCTCATAATGATTATCCTCTCGCACCAGAGCGGATGACAATTAATGGAGTAGAGAAGCTAATTGGTTCTTTTAAACCTCGAAAAAACTATGTAGTACATTATCGCAATCTAAAACAATATCTTGAGATGGGAATGAGACTAACTGCTGTTCACAGGGGAATATCATTCTACAAATCTCCTTGGATGGAGAAGTACATCATGAAAAATACAGAACTTAGAAAAACTGCGGCAAAAAATTTTTGAGAAAGACTTTTTCAAACTGATGAATAATTCAGTGTTTGGAAAAACAATAGAAAACATTCGAAAGAGACAGAATATTATACTAGTAGATTCACGTGCTGAAGCATCGGTATTATCATCTCGTCCTAACTTTGATCGAGCAACAATATTTGATCGAAATCTTATTGCTGTTCATATGAAACGTACTGAAATATACTTTTCCAAACCGATATATGTTGGACAAGCAATTCTGGATTTGTCGAAAACACTAATGTTTGATTTTCATTACGATTACATCCAAGCGAAATATAATGATGCAGCTAACGGCGCTTGTCGCGCAGAGTTGTTGTTTACAGATACAGATTGCTTGTGTATCTAATCCGTACGGATGATTTTTACAAGGATATATCTAAAGATATTAAGCGAAAGTTTGATACATCTGATTATCCTAATAGCCACCCATCTGGTATACTAACAGGAGTTAATAAAAAAGTAATAGGAATGTTTAAAGATGAAGTAGCTGGCCGTCAGATTACTTACTTTGTTGGGCTGAGACCCAAGCTTTACAGCTTTAAAGTTGAAGATGATAAAACTGTTAAGAAGGTGAACGAAGTTCGAAAGTGTAAAGGGGTAAAGAAAAATGTTGTTAAACGGGAGATATCATTTAAAGATTATGTCCAGTGTTTATTTTCCGGTGAGAAACAGATGAGATCGATGAAAATTGTTGAAAGTGAAATTCGTGATATTTACTCAAAGAAAGTAAATAAAATTGCTTGAGTAATGATGATGACAAGCGTAAAGTGATGGAAGATTGTATTCATACTCTGGCTTTAAGATAAATACTAAATAAAATAAAATGGCTTACACATACGAAGAAATAGAACGATATATAGATATATTGAATAATTATACCGAGCGACACTATGAAGAAAACAATCTCTTTAAATGTTGGAATTGTCAAAGCGATAGTTTCTTTGTTGAATCAGGTTATTATAAGTGTGACTCCTATGGGTCATCTAATGGCCATGCTCTTGGGTATTTTGCCTTGAAAGGGTACCATCGATTTCATTATCGTAGGAAGAGTATATATCAGAGAAAATATCATTATGAAAAAATAGTTTAAAATATTTCTAAGAGGGTATCCTTGACTGATGAGCAAGAATACTGTTTATTTAATAGACTAATGGAAATAGACCAAGACACCATCACAAAACTAAACAATCAATTTTGTCGTAAGAGAATGATAAGCATTTTTAATTTAATCAAAAAATGCTTAGAAGAAATGGGGTGTGAAAAGCACAACCAAGTTTATCTAAAGATTTCTAAACAAACTTTAGAAAATTATGAAAAGTGGTGGAATAGTTACAAATCGCTAAACAAGGCAGCGTAGCCAAGGGAGGGAGTCATAGGGGGAACCGTAGGTTCCCACTATACAACACCACTGTGAAGAGCCCAGTAGATAATCCCAGTTAGATATCCAAGTACTTCACATTCTTGAAACGGTGTGTCGGAGATGTACGCACATCCTCACCCCATTCGACACTGTTTCCAAAAAGGACGAAAAGCGTTAGAAAAGATTAAGTGATCAGACATAACAAACGAGTTTGACCTACAGCTATTTCTAGATTCTGTCAGTCTATAGATTACCTGGTCAAAGTCGATATTAGTTGTAAAAATTTTTATCATGATGATACTTGTAAACAAGACACAACTTAATGAAGTTATCACAGTAGAAACGAGTTTGATAATGAGGGAAGTAATAATTAACGTAAGTTATAATTGTCGTAATCATTTCTATCTTATGAATAGATAGAAATGACAAATGAGCTCAGCTTAAACTGAGAACATTTTATTGTATCTCTCAGCAAATCTATCTGCTATAGGAGTCTGATCAATTATCATTTCATCTATTAGTTTCATACGTTCAATAAACTCTTGTTTGTTAAAGGAGTCTCCCCGCAGAGCTGAACGAAGTTTAACGAGCACGTTTTCATACGTCGTAAATGCGATTCGACTCATCTCAATTTTTCTTTTGTAATTCTTTTTCTTTCCAATACCCGCCACAACAACCCCAGCACCGAGAATAACTGGGTCTAGGGTTACTCCACCAGCGACCGTCCCTACAGCCACTAGGCATATTCCAGAGATCACAAATGATTCATCAAGAAGTTTATGTCTCTTGTACGACCGCTTAAAACACCAGTATTTTTTGTGATAGTGACTATAAAAGTCTTTGAGAGTCTTAATATCTGGTTCTGATATAGATTTGTCTATGTGATTAAATTCAAATATATCCGTCATTTATTCTTTTACCCATATGATTGCGGCGTAGCCAAGGGAGGGGGTCATAGGTTGAACCGTAGGTTCCCCTATACTACATAAGATCCATTTAACTTTTCTTGAAGCATTACTTTGTGATATTGTTCAGAGTCAAAGTGGTAAAAGTTTGGAGAAAACATTAATTTATTTAACTCTCCATCTTCAGTTGTAAAAGTCCAAACTTGATCAGTGGAGTAGTGAACGGATAGTATAGTTAATGTTGAGCTGTAGTTACTTATTGAAGCTTTCGTAACATTTGCATTAAAATTTTCTGTCAGCCATAAATCAATTTTTTTCCATTAAAACTACTTGGCATGGTAAAACTTTGAGTTATTTTATTGATAAATAAATTTACTGAATTGTTTGTTTTATCATAATTTAATTTTAATAAAATTTTATTGTTTGCTGGTATATGTTTTGTTAGGCTAAAACTCCTATTTCTCCAATGATAAAAAACAATACATAAACTATATTTCGAAAAATGTGAAGGAGAAAAATTAACATCATAACCATTAACATTTAAGCCATCTTTTTTTATGACTTAGGTCTCTACTAGGTAGTGTAATACTAGGATTTAAAGAATTGAAAATAACTCCAGATGAGCCTCTACTTAATTCATACATATCCGCATCAGGAAAGTCATAAAATTCTTCAAAATATTTTCTGTACAAAGCATTTTTGGTAAAAGGAATTAACTCTTTTACCATTCCAACTGTTGCAGCACTATTATCACTGTTTCGATCAAGTTTGATATTTCTAATTGCTTTTTGATTTGCGTTGATGTCAACATTGTACTCCACTTCTGTCGGGTGGATGTCAAATTCTGTGTGATAGTCGTAAACTTTATCTGGCTCGACATCATTGGCTGTTCCAACGATGCCATAAGAAATCATGTAAACCCCTGAAAAGTTACGCGGATACACCGCCAGGTCAGTTCCGTCCTGTGGAATATTAACTAATATATGAAGAAAATAGGGGCTAGACGTTGTCTTGCGAAAATTAACCATTATTCGGGGACAATGCATAAACTGTGGCTGATTTTTTTGATCAAGATACCTGTGGGAGTACTTCCTCACACTAACATTTCCAATAGTTAATCCTCGCGAGGTGCCTTTATCCACAGTTATTTGAGACTTATGCTATAGCTGATAATCAGTGTTGAGTGTTTCTTAACAAAGGGTATAATCTGCATTTGCAGTTAGTCTGTAAAAATTAATTCCCATTTTATACTTATATTCACTCTGAGAATTCTTAATTATAGTTGTGTAAAGAACTTTGTGGTTATAGTCATGAAAGTTTCCTTTGTTTGGTTGTAAATCGCCTATTTTTGTTATATTAAAACTATTTCCTCCATCGATTTCATCCGTCCATTGAATTAAGCTTGACATGAGAAAACGAAACTGATCCTTGTAATGGCTTGGTTGAACATGAGAGTGGTGAACGAGGTTATCAATATACTCTTTGGTTGTCGCGTCGCTATCTGAAGTGGGAGTTTCAAGACTTGTTATTTTATGGCCTCCAACATTAAGATCTCTAGTCATTGGAACACTTCCATCTTTTTTCAGAAAAGAACTATTATCGGGTATTGAATTACCCACATACTTTTTGGTTGCAGCATCTGTGTCAGAAACCGGTGGACGTAGATGTTTTATACTTTTATTGTTCATATTGAGGTTTCCTCCCATTGAGGTTGTTCCATCAAGGTGGAGATACATAAGATCGGTGAAAATCTTTGTTGTTGGTTGATTATTTCCTGTTGGAAGTGGAAGATTGTTTATTTGTTTGTTGTTCATGTCCAGATTTCCAGTCATTTTTTTTTTTGATCCATCTAGCTCATCTAGCTTTAAAAAAACATTACCATCGACTTTGTTATCATCTACATATTTTTTTGTTGCTAATTCACTGTTTAATCTAGGTGTTCTTTGATTCAGTATTCGGTGACCATTAAATCACCAATCATTGTATTACTTCCATCTCTTTTAAGAAAGTGTGTGTCAGCGTAGTGTTTTGTTGCTGCATCTTTTGGATTTACAGGTACTGTCTTTAAATTAATCAAAGTATTATTATTCATATCTAAGTTGGCATGCATTGACCTAGTTCCATCCAAATGGAGATATCTATTACTTGAAAATCTTAGATTTACTGGTTGGTCACCTTTGTTTGGTTGTGGTAGGTTATGGATTCTGTTGTTGTTCATGTTGACATCACCAGTCATTGGATGGGATCCATCTCTGTAAAAGAAGTGACTGTCCGTGTATTGTTTTGTGGCTGGTTCATCTGCATCAGATGGCGCTTTAAGATTTAGAATACGGAAGGAGTCCTTGATGTCAATGTTTGAATCCACTGTTAGTCGTGACGTCCTGGGTCGGCCACTGGAATTGTCATCAACATATTTTTTTGTTACTGCGTAGGTATTGACCCTGGGTTTTCTAACATTT